TAATAGCCACTATATATTAAAAAAATAAAATGTGTCTTTTACGATATATATAGGGTGTTTAAAAAAAGTTATTCTTAGGAAATTAATGGAGATTCACCTAATTGATTTGAATGAAATTGATTTTTTATCAATTACAGCCTTAATATAAAGACATTTTTTAAAATTCTAAATTTAGTTKTATGGATATTTACGAATTTCACATTTTACAAATAAATCTAATTTTTGGTACTTATATTGACTAATTAAAAATAATAAAATAAAAACTATATCTTTGGATAAATAATAATCACCAATCACAGTAATTACGGTCTGTACGTGATTTGAAAAATTTGAAATCTGTATCTATGCTTTCTGCTCCAGATTCATCTGTATCTAGACTAGTTGCTACCACTTTGTTGAGAGATTCATTTGATTCAGTACTGAGATACCCGGAGTCTTCATATCTGTTATGATCAATTGGCGAACTTTTGACTGTTTGTTTGTCAGAAGCACCAGCCATGATATTATGGGTTCGCTGRTTAAATTGTGAGCTAGCGCAACTGGGTTGCATGACTCTGGGCTTGCTAGTGCTTCTGACACAGGCGTTTTTTGGAGGCTTTTGTACAGACAAAGGTGATGGACACCTTTGCCTTCGAGAGTGTTTTGGATCKGGTTTTAAGTATTTGGCTTCGATTTGGCTCATATTCCTTCTCTTTTGCACATCAGCCATGACGTTCTTGGCTTCGTATATCTCTAATAAACTACCAAATCCATTATTATTTATGCTTTTAAGACTATTAAATTGTTCTAATGAGTCCGAAGAGTATACTGCTTTCAAATTTGGTTTTAATTTTGTACAGTTTCTATCTAATGTGTCTGGTTCAAAACTGTCTGAATCTTCTACTGGATGATTGTCAGGACAGTCTTCAACTTCAATAGTTATTTGACCTGGACTCTTCTTTTTAATCTTTTTATCCAGTGAATTATTAGGTGACATACTAGTGTTAAAGTTATCATTTACGTATACTTCGCTAACCAAACTATAACGTTCAGATGACCTATTAAGTATATCGGGTAAGATTTCCTTTTTCGGTTTTTCTCGTATACAGTCTGGACCAGATATATGTTCATAATAGCTTTCTCTTTTTGTGATAGTATCATAAGTATATGTGGTTCTAATGGTAAGTTCTTCATCCATTGGTAAAGCAGAATTACTTAGAACTGGACTTAGGTCTGGTCTAATGAATCCGTAYTCTGACGGTGTATGATATCCACATTTCTGCCTGTAATTCATTGATCTTTCCAAACTATCGCACTCAATGTTAATACCCTCTTCCTCATCATCAACATCATCATCATCATAGTTGTTGTCTTCTTTTTCTTCTTCTTCTATTTCCACTACTTTTTTTTCTTCTACTTCATTAGTTTTTGATTTTAATTCATTTTCCTTAAGTTGTAAGTCCTCTACATCATCTTTTGCTTTTAACTCAATGGGAATACAAGGAGCTTGATTTTTCTTTGGCTTGGTAACTTCTATAGGTACATTCATCAACCATTTTTGTATTGTAGCTGATTTAATTTTGAATTGAGTTTTACATTTATTGCAAGAACTTAATGGTTCATTTGTGTCTTCATTTGTATCTTCTAGAATCGCAATAAGATTTGGTGTGAATTTTTTCATTGTTATTTTTCTTTTTGCTTCGTGTATCACTTCACGAATTTTTTCCAAAAATTCCATCGCTGCTGGTGGAGGAGCCTAAAAATAATTATTTATCTTATTTTATTTAGTTAATTATTTWTAATTAATATTTTACTTTTACCATTAATAATTCAAGTTCAAAATAGTCTGGATTGAAGTAAAGTTTTTTTCTTGGGTTAGCACACACTATTGATCTAATATTATCTGGTCGATCTTCTTTGCTATCCAATGTTTCTACTATTGAAATATCCTCTTCTGGATGTTTTTCTATAGAATTTGAATCTGAATAATACATTGAATGGCCAACACACGAATTGAATGATTGAATAGGGTGTACAATGGCTGTTGTTAAATTTCTCTGTAATAAATGCATAAATTAGGTACTTAATTAATTATTCTAGCATTGATTTAGTAGGGTTATTTTTTATACCCATTGTTTTAGGTAGGTACTTACATTAATATTATTATTTTCCAYCATATCTATAGAAGGTTCTCCTTGTGTATTTATACTATAATTTCTATCTTCATCTGACTCAAAGGCTTCATTATCATTGTAACTGTGTTGTAACAGAGGATTGTTT